AAAATAATTGGATAAGAAAGTAAATTATTGCTATTGGATAATATAAGAAATATAGAAAAGTAAAAATAAAAGAAAAAAAGTTTAAATAAATATTACTGCACTAAAAATATAATGTGATATAGTTGATGAAAGGTAAAATGATAACAATATATAATATATTAATTAAATAAATATAATATACAGTAGTAATCAAAAAGAATGAAATACTAAAACAAATTTATTAATAAAATATAGTAAAAATACTGTCACCAATCTGTGATCTTGTTAATGAAAATATTTACAAGATAGATAATAATAACTGTGTTTATACAAAAATATATAATATAAGTCTTTCTAAAATATGAGTTTCAATATCAAATGACAAAGATTGTATTTATAATTTTTATAAGTGGAGCTTTATAACTAATATAAATAATAATTCAATACATAATGAATTATTATAACAAAGAAGACAAGAAATTCAATAAAATAAGATAATTAGAATAATTAGCAGTCTAATCTATTCTTTATTATTGTCAAGATTAAAGATAAATTACAAGATATCTAATTTTTTATGTTAAATTATATTCATTTAAATACATGTTAAAGTAATACAGATCTATAAGATTTATAATGATGTAAAGAATCAATAACATGTATAATGTCAAGAAATGATAAACATAATACAAATTAATCTAAGTATTACAATTGAAATTAGTGAAATATTGGCATTATATTAAATAAATTAGATAAATTAATAATTAAAATTAAATAAATTAATAATTAGAAATCAAGAACCAATAAAATATAATAACTAATAATTAATAAAAATTATATAATAAATAAATAAAATGATTAGTGATTTATAATATCACTAGATGTAAATAAAAGATAATTAAAAATAAATAAATAGATAAATAAATACTTATAAATAGAAATTAATTGAATATTACTCAGGATCTAATAATATCTCATATCAGGTGATCAAAAAAAATAGTGAATGATGACAGTACTTTTTGACTAAAGATTTTGCTCCGCAAAACTATGTATAGTCTTCTAAATTTTTCTTTTATAATTTCATAGACAACATTTCTATCATTTCACTATTTTCTATCATCTATAATAATCACAAACTGTAAATATATTTGTTCTTTATAAATCTTCAAGTGATCTTCATTATATGAATTTTTGAGAACTTTTCTATCCAAGATTCTTAATTTATAAATACCTTTTTCATAAACATTATGAATATAGTAAGAATCTTTCTATTTTTCACCAAATTTGTTATGATATCAATTTTCTTGTGAATTGTGACAAATATCATGACTAAAGATGACGTGATAACTGTTGCAACACGATGACAAATAAAGCATTACCTAATTGCAACTAGTTGCAGCTTATAAAATTTGGAGTTGCAACGTATTGTAACAGATAACAAATAAACATCACGTACTTGTTGCGCCATCTCTAATTATGACAAATTCAAACAAATACAACAAAATATTATAGATTGAACAAACAATCAAAATTAACTGACTTCACAATACAAACCTCTTGCTCCTATTGGTAGTAATACTAAAACTCATTGAAATTTAACATTTATTCTATTGGAATAGTTTTTACTTCTTTATGATGCAATTGATGAACTTGAGATCCAATTATTATGTGATCTAGATCATTGAACATGAGCAGATAGTGAAATTTTAAGTAATTTAATACTATTAAGGAATGAATGGAAATATCTAAATGAGTTAATAATTCTACTTAAGCCTTTTACTGCTGTAACTATACTAATAGGTGGAAGCAAATATCTAATACTTTCCCACTCTTTACAAGCTTTCCCATCACTTAATCATAATGAATTCAACACTTACCTGCCTAGAAATTATTACAATTTCAGATAAAATTCATGAATCATTAATAAGAAGATGGGAGAATTCAAAAATTCATGATTTTGTTACATTATTTTTGAATTCAAGATTTAAGAATATGTCATTTGCATTAGAGAAGAAATTTCAAGAAATTAAAAGAACAAGTTACAGAAAGCCTAGAAAATGCATCAGAATTATCTAATACTTTGACTTAAGATTCTTATCTGCAAGATCAATCTCTTATGTCACTATTTTATAATAATTATAATAAAACATCAACTATCACTAAGATATCCATTGAGTTGAAGCTTTGCATTTATTGAAGCATGCCAGCACTTTCAAAGTATGAAATAACTACCCGTTATATGCAATAAATAATTCTTATAAGTAATGAAATAATTACAAAGCAATACTATCTTTGCTTGCAGAGCAAGCAAGAATTTGTCTTGCAATTCCAGCCTCTTCAGTTTCTGCTGAGCATCTTTTCAGTAATGCTGATAATATATTAACTGACAAGAGAAATCGTCTTGATCCTATAAATATACATGATCTTCTTTTTCTTAAAGAAAATTCAGCTTTTATATCAGTTTTTTCTAAATTGTCTAATCAATAAGAAATTAAGATAATATAATGATTTAATACAATTTCGTAAGCATAGAAATAAATAAATAAAAGAGATTTCTAAATAAGGAAATTCACATGACTTTAGCCGGCTAGCTGAAACAAGAAATTCTGACTTAGTTGCGCCGGTATTTTAATACCAGCTAGAATCACTAGACCCGACATCTACTAATTGGTTATTTTTTGTTATTACCAAATCGGGTAGATGCATCCCTTGAGCGCACAAAAGATGTTCACTGATTTTTAGATTAGCGAAATTTAATCATGATCATAGACAAATTTTTTTATCAGATATTGGCCAATTTTCTTCAGTTACCATGTCCGCAACAGACCAAGAAATCACGGATTTTGTTTTTGAAACACCCGCAGCCTCGGAAGAAAATGAGGCCAATGTAAATACAAATGAGATAAGCAACGCTCCGGTGACTGCAAAAAACATTCAAGCGCTTAAAGCGCAAATAATTGAAATCGACCAGTTATTTAATTTATTCGCACTGAAGGAATCAGGTTCTTAATTTATCTTATATATATATATATATTCATAAAGAATATATTCAAACTAAACCTTCGGTTTTTCTACAGAGTTATCGGATGCAAGAGCTCAACTAGGTGTTCTTGGAGAAAGCTTATTAAGTGAGTTAGCAGCGAACGCAATCAAAGATACGGGTAAATATGATTCCTATATATCAAATATGTATAATATTACAGATCGACTTGTCATTATATACTAAATCGTTTTTTAATTATAGAAATAACACAGAAAAATCAAGAGATAACACAAAAAGATCAAGAGATAATACAAAAAAATCAAGATATCGCATCTTTGCGTGCGGGTTTAACAAAATTACGGGACCAGGTTTCAATTCCCGTGCAGGATTGTGAACGACTTCGAAAGGAAGTCAAAAGTCTGAATATTAAATTGGAAGAAAAAGAGACGCGGTTGCAAGAACACGGAAATATAATAGGAGATGCGCAGCGATTACGAAGTGATAATCAAAATCTTATGAGTCGCGTCAGATCATTAGAGGTAGATTATTATTGGATCGTCCTTTTATTTAAAATATTTTAATTCTTAATCATCTCTCATCACAATCATTTAGGCATTGAAATCGCAGCTGGAGTTTAAAATACAAGAGAACGAAAATAATGCCTCAAATAATGATCAAATCAAAAAAGAGCATCAAAAATTAAAAAAGGACCTTGCAAAGAAGTAAGTCGATTGTTAAATGTTTTAATTTGAACGTGAGTGGATTGAGGCTTGTCCACCCACTAGTTTCTCGAAGCTTTCATTAAAAAAAATGATATATATGTATATAAATATACGTGTCCCTAGTATTGCACTTTCTCTAGGTGGCATTTTGGAATCTTTGTTCTTCAATATGGTTAAAATAATCACCGATTTCTTGATTCGGGCGCACTCTTGTGTTCCGATACTAGTCCCTAGCATTGCACTCTGCTAATTGTTTTCGGAGTCAATATCAGTAATAAGTTTATTAATTTGAATATAGAAAAATGGTTATTCAATCTACTAGTGTTTACTTTTTCCTATTTAATTATCTTTTAGGGAAGACAAGTGCAATAAATCCAATGCGGAAAAATTAGCACTTGAAGAACGGATAAAGCAGATCGAGGCTGAAAAAAATCTACTCGAAGAGAGGGTGAAAGATCTCGAAAGTGAAATCGAAAAGAGACAAGATGAAGATTTAGAGCGAGAACTGAACCAAGGTCTAGGGCAAGAATGTCTCGCGGAAAAGGATAGTAAAATAGCGGAACTTGATGAAGAATTGGGAGTATTACGTAACGAGGCAAAAATGTTCGATCAAATACGAAGCGAGTGCGAAAAACTTCGACGTGAGAATCAGCAATTAAAGATCTCGGAAAAATCTCAAACCCAAGAAGCTGATCAGCAGAACGAAATACTAAAGTTAAAAAGAGAACTTGCCGAGTTAAAGAACGTTCGACAAAATAATCATGATATTGAGCAACAACTAAAGACGTCAAATGACGAGATCGAAAAATTACGTCAGATACTTCGAGATAAGCCAAAAGAAACTTTGAACATTCATCCTGATATCTCAAACCAATTTTCATTGGTTATGCAAGAATTAAATGCTTCGAAAAAAAACATTGAAAACTTGGAAAAAGTAAAGGTAATATATACCTTTTCAATAATACGATAATCTTTTTAATAATTCTTTTTGGTTTACTTATATTTTGATACCTTGTTAATAGATAGCCTTACAAGACTTGGTAACAACACAACAAATCCAAATAATGGATCTTCGCAACTCAAAACAAGCTGTCATTTCAACGGTATTCTTTTTTATTTATCTGTTTTATACTTACCTATTTTTAATCATTAAAAATCTTATCGCGTTATTGAATCTAGGTCTCCTCAAGCGCAATACAAGAAACCCCCAATAAAGATCCGTTGACTCCTACATATTCCAATTCTGATCTTATTGATCCTACACATCCTAATTCTGGTCTTATTGATACAGTCCTTCCTACACATTCTAAATCTGGTCTTATTGATCCAATCCCTCCTACACATTCTAATCCTGGTCTTATTGATCCTACACATCCTAATCCTGGTCTTATTGATCCAGTCCTTCCTACACATTCTAATTCTGGTCTTATTGATCCAATCCCTCCTACACATTCTAATCCTGGTCTTATTGATCCAGTCCTTCCTACACATTCTAATCCTGGTCTTATTGATGCCGTCCCTCCTATACGTTCTAATCCTGATCTTATTGATCCAGTCCCTCCTACACATTCTAATCCTGGTCTTATTGATCCAGTCCTTCCTATATTAGAGGACACAAGGAAAAAACGTAAAAATTTTGAACGCGAACTAGGTGACAACAATGCATTTGCTCTTACGAAGCCAGACCCTAAAAAGAGACGAGTGACCAGACAAAAAACAATTCCCTCGATATCCAATTCAACCGTAGGGCAGGATCAACTTTCGTGTATGTATTTGAGCGTATTAATTTACCAGCATACTTTATGATTAATTTATTTTTTGACAATTACAGTTATAGCAAAAAAACTCCAGGATCTCGCTGGACATTCTGAGAACGTCTTCAATTCGATAAAATCCTTACGATCTTTTGCTTTTGAAAAAGGTGAAACTCTTATCCAAGCAATCGATCAATACATTAGATTATTGCGTACTCCACACAACTTGAAACCGATCGGTGAAGTGGATCAGGTAAAAAATATTGTTGACTTAAAAGGGCGGAGTATACCAATGCCGGTGGTTTTGCCGAAACGTGAAGCTGATTTCGTCCTGTTTCTTTGGTTCATGTCTCGGGAGTTTCCAGATGTAAGTGTCAACTCTGTTTTTGAAAGAATTTGTACTTGATAATTAATCAAACTTAAATTCCTTTTTATTCAGAGTAATATAATCGAAAAAATTATGGAATACGCATTTAAGCAAATCGTTTTATCGAAAAATAAATCAAACGATATGGGCATAGGATGGTGGGTATTAATTTCTATATATGATGACTTTTATCACCAAGTCTTTATTCACTTGACATATCTTTCACTAGCCGACTTTGTCGAATTTTTGTGGCACTTTGTCGCATTTCGCGTGATATACATCGACCAAGAACTTTGTGTTTCGATCTTATGCGAGAAATACATAAATTCGATTACGTGGTAAAAATAGTAGAGAATATTGCAAAGATATGGCCACAAGTTCTACATAATGACGTATCATCCAACTCGCAAGGTTAGCTAGTTATCATTTTGAATTCCTTGAATATGTTTCTTCAATCAAATTAATTGACTATTTTTTCTTGCTCTAATTAGAAAATGTAACCATTTTGGGTACAATGGAATCGATTATTGCACAGAATATTAAAGATTCGGTACGTTTTTTTTTTACACTTAATCAATCAAGAATACGTTAGATAGAAAATAACCTTATAATTATGAATTTGTTTTTAGAGTCTATACTCCACTTTCGTGAGATACTGTTCATGGAACCAGCTCAGCAACATTCCATCCCTTCAAGACAGACTTCAAGCATTATCCGATCTTATTCAATCACCCGAATTTCAAGTCAAATGCAGAGCAGAAGCGGATAATGGTAAATTTGAGTAGCAAGTTTAAATTCACGTTTAATCAGTGATTAGTTATTAATTCCATGTTTTGATAATTCAGGTCAATTTCAAGAGTATCGCTATAATCTTATTAAATCTTTTGAATTGATCGCGTGTTGGAGCCCGTGGCCCGAATTTTACGAAAAAGTTGTTTGTGGTGTCTTACTTCCTTTGGTGGGTAATGAAGATCTCGCAGGTGTTCCGATCGAAATAATAGGCGAGGTATGCCGAAAAGGAATATTGGATGTTAAAAAGAAGAAAGAAGTATCGGAAATGGTCGCTCGTCTTTGTCAAAATCTTGCACCTCAAAACGAAGGTAAAAATTAAGTTACATATTTTATTCGATTCTTTTTCCTTTTTTTATTTACTAATATGATATTTAGCTTCGTTAATACAAAAAGCTCGCTTTGCAAGTGTCATACTTAATCTCGCAGAAGGTGATCTCGAATTTGTTGATGCCGTCTTCCGGTGGCACTCTTCGTTGGAAGTACAAAACGAATTGCCAAGTGTGTTTGTCGAGCAATTGAAAGTTTTGCGGTCCGTAACTTCAAACTAAAATTAACGTATATATTAAAGATTATAAAGAATAATATATGCACAGGTTTTCTCAATCCCGGAAAATTCTACTGTAATGTTAATTAATGTTAAAGATTGATTTTAGAATCAGTTAGGGTTAGATATATGTAAAATTGCCTCCCGACATTTTTGATTAGTGCTTCAAACCAGATTTTAACATCTGTTTTCCGTATTTTTCTCATTTTTCGCTTTTTTCATTTTCTTGTGTCGGATTTGCTTTCCACCTTTATTGGTTGCTGCGAACGAAAATTTGCGCGTTCTTATTGGTTGCTGGGTCGAAATCGACAAAACTTTGATGTGCTCTGATTATGTCATGAAATATATATAAAATGAGTCATTCATTTGTCGGGAACTGTCAAAAGCTAAATTATAATCTCAGAATTATATAGACTCTTACCGAATATTAACAACTATTAACAATGGATCATGAAGGACAATCAATGAGTGCTTCTTACGAAGATCAGTGGTTACTAGGTAGTAGTGAAAGTAAGCCAAAAGGGGTCGACAACCTGTCGCGTTCCCGTGGTTTATCTGATCCGGGTAATAAAGAGAAAAAAACAGTAATAAATTCAGCTAGTATTGCTACGAGCTCAAAAGCAATAAAACGTATCTCGGGAGGAATTGGCGCTGGTGGTGTAGGTCCCAGTTCTGGTGGTGTAGGTAGTAGTCCTTCATCACGAGTGAAACCCTCAACCGAAGGTGGTCTTGGTAAAGATAAAAAACAGTTAACTGAAACCATTTCAGCTAGTCCTCCAAAATCTAGTAAACGACAATCTCCTGGCGGAAATGCATTGTTTGTTCAGACAGCAGCTACAACAATGATGACGTCTGCAAATTCTACAGGCAAAAAATCTATGAAAGAAATGACAAAAGCGGAAAGACGTGCCTTACAAGAACGTCAACGAGCAGAAAAGGCTGCCCGTAGCTCTCCGAATACTGCCGCTTCAAAGAAAGCACCACAAACAAATGAGAACGTGACACCTACTCCTTCAGAAAAAGCTGGTTCTAATACTTCTGGGCAGTTTGAAACTATACCTGTAACAAAGAAATCAAATGTATCTGGAGGTGGAGATATCACCGTAAAGCAGCAGCAACAGCAAAAAAAGCAAACAAAAGAAAATCGCAAAGAGGTTGCTATGTTTTCGCATTTAGGAATTTCCAAAGGCACAAATACTGCGTCGGCGCCAAAGGAGATTCATCCTGCTGTGTTGGTTCTTGGATTACAATTTGCCGAGTATAAAATTTGTGGTGCTAATGCAAGATGTATCGCTACGTTAACTGCCTTTAAAAAGGTATATTAATATTTTGAATCTTTGTTCTTTTGCTGCGAAATTTAATTTGATTCACCTTTATATAAAAAAAGGTCATTCAAGATTACAAAACACCAAATAACACCACGTTATCACGACATCTTCAAACACATTTATCCGCACAAATCAATTATCTGAAAAATGCACGTCCAATGTCAGTTAGCATGGGGAATGCTATAAGACATATAAAATGGGAGATATCCACCATAGGCTACGATTCATCAGATAACGAGGTAATCTATATTTCAAGAGTTTTTCTTTAGATTGTTCAATGCTCTAATTTCCCTAAATAAAAGGCCAAAGAATTATTATGTAAAAAAATCGATGACTTCATTCGCGATCGTATTACGGTTTCGGATCAAATGATTGTTGAACATGGTCTGCAAAAAATTCAAGATGGAGACGTTATTCTTACTTATGCAAGGTTCTTGTTTCGGTCATTTTATTGATGTGTTGCTTAGTATTTAATTAATATTCGATTGATATGTAGGTCTTCAGTTGTACAAGAGTTATTATTGAAAGCTCATGCCAAAGGAATAAAATTTCGCGTGATTGTAATTGACTCAAGACCTAGATTAGAAGGTAACCTACACGTAAATTCACATCCTTAGAATAATAACTAGGACCTAATTTCGTGGTTTTAATAATTTTCACATAAAGGTAAGAAACTTTTGAAATGTTTGACGGAGGCAGGTATAAACTGCACATACGCATTTCTGCATGCAGTTGGTTTCGTGTTGCGGGATGTATCAAAAGTTTTCCTGGGTGCACACGCGTTTATGTCTAATGGTACATTGTATTCGCGTGTCGGCACTGCATTGGTTGCCATGATGGCCAAGGATAATCATATTCCGGTAATTGTGTGTTGTGAGACATACAAATTCACGGATCGCGTACAATTGGATTCCTTTGTTATGAATGAGCAAGGTGAGTAAAAGAAAAAATAGTTGTTATAGTCAAATTGAATTTATAAATCATCTCAATCAATAAATAATAAATAGGCAATCCAAATGAACTTGTAAATATCTCTACCAGCATCACTTCAAAACCTGGTCAGCTTGCCGGTTGGCTCCAACAACCGGATCTAAAACTATTAAATTTGATGTACGATTTGACGCCGTCCCAATATATCACTACAGTCATAACAGAGATTGGAATGATTCCATGTACAAGTGTTCCTGTGGTAAGCTTACGACAAGGTTTCTCTATTGGATTATTTCACGAATAGTGATAATGCTAATAATTATACTTTTGTATCATCAATCTTTAGATTTTAAGAGAGTTCAAGTAAGTGCTGTCTTGCAGGGGACATACGATTTCTTTGTTTTTATTAATAAGTTGAAACGAACAAAGGGTGCATCATCAACTTGATACTAGAAATCTTAAAGATTTTCTTGCTTCAAAAAACATTATGCTTTTGGTATTATTTAATACGTAATACACGTATGTCTGATCAATCAATAACATTTCTATCTCAACCAAAATTTTCAGACCAATGTTACACTAAGAGATCAATAACCTCCCGTCAAAAATCATAATATTTTTCAATCTTATCTACTGCTTGTTTATGCCCTTCTGGTGATAATCGTAACGATAATCACTTAAAAGGGTTTTTGTGGTCATCAATTCGGACAATCTACGGGTAGCGTTAATCAGGTAGAAAAGTCATATAACGATAATAAATTCATTTTATTCCTGTACTTCTTAATTATTATTCTTGACTAATAGCACTGATAATTAGTGAGCTAATGTTAAATAGGTAATGGTCTTAGATACAGACTGTAAGGCTATCTCGGTTAAAACTTTTTGAAAAAACGTTCTTATTAAGAAAAAACATCATATTATAACGAAGTTTATAATGAGGGTTCAATATATTTCCCGATGTATTGGTATAAAGAGCTCTGACTATAGTTTTCCCGGTCCCTACTTACTATCAAGGTTCTATGACGATCCCTAGCATAATTAGGGCTCAATATATTTCTATCTGTCTCGCAACATGTGGTATAAAGAACTCTGATTGTACTCGTAAATGGGATTATTCATATAACGAAGCATTAATTAAACCGATTTTGGTTCCAGAAACAGTTATAGTGATTCACCAATAGCCCAACCAACTGTAGTAGCATTAGTTCTGGTAATTACAATGATGAGATGGCTTCCTGTTTGGCCGTTTAATTTGAAAGATGATCGTCAGAATCGAGATATTAGTCATCGTTACTCATTAGGATATACTATATATTAATGAATCAGAAAAAATTTTTTTTACAAAAAAGAATTCTCTTCTGAAGAGCGACTTGCGCAATAAAGCCGAGCGATGCTCAGTCAAACCGACAACTGTTGGCAGAATAATTTAAAGTACAAAGAAAAAGTACGTTTACTACAAGAGTAAGTCACGCGTCAGCAACGGTAAAAGTAATGACTTTATTAAGCGTAAAACTAAAGAACAATTGATACACGAAAGAACTATTCTAAATAATAACATTTATCTTTGATAGTGCATCCATCCACCTTCGTAATGAACTTTGCCCGTGATAATGCATCCACCCATCAAGCTTCGTGGTAACGTATCCACGCTATCTTTGTGGTAATGCATCCATTAACCTTCGTGACAGTGAATCCATTAACCTTCGTGACAGTGAATCCATCAACCTTCATGGCAATACCTAATATATATATATATATAAATATAATCAAAAGAATTTAAAAAGTAATTCGTGGCAATGCACCCACCTCTCTGCCTTCGCGAGTAATAGTGCATCGTGATAATGCGCCTTTACCCG